GAATCAAATTTCCCACTGAGCCTAAACTAATCGCTGTGTCTTCCCCTCAATTTCCAGTTCCAGATGAGCAGTGTTCAGAGCAACACTTCTCTCTGCATTATCTCTTCAATAAAACCTGTTAAACCTTTTCTACTGGTCTCCCTGTTTGGTCAACAGCATATGGGTCTGAACTTTAGTAAAATCATGACAAGTAAAAAACTTGAAAAGACATTCTTTGGGAGAAACACTTCAGGCACCCGAGGAAGATATAAACATCACTGAAAGAAAAATATAATGGACTCCACCCTAATTACAATAAAGTAGAATAGAAACATATTTTTATTATGTGAATGTAGCTAAAATAAGTAAAAAGGTGAGCTTAAAGGTACACAACAGACTGAAGAAAACAATAAAAGAACAAAATTCTTAGAGTAATCTGTACAGAAAAAGAGAATAACTCCATGCAGTTATTGATACATATTACGATAACGTGAAATGTCAGAAAGCTGGAAAAGCTTTGTAAATGAGCAGAGTTGTAGATAAGCAGTGTTTACTATTAGCATTTATTTTTGTTGGGTCGGTGAAGAAATAAATTGACAGATTTTAACTTCTGTAACATAATGTCATAATGAAGAAAACATTTGAGACCGACTTATGTAAGAGAGATACAGGAGTGTACAGCTCACCTCTCTGCTGACTGAGAAGATTTAAAATCAATCCAGTTTTCCTTAGAATCATTACTCTTGTAGGACCAATTTCTGGGCTGAGCTTCAGGTCCAGGTGTGACTGCCTGAATCCTGTGAACATTACAAAACCTCAAATATCTGAATTAATTAATTAATTACAAATAATAAGCACTAACTACAATTAGGTCCTTTAAATGTTTTCAGACTTCATTTGAATGAATTATTTTTAAACATCTTGTAAAAAATGTAAAAAAGTTCTTGTCAACCTGAGTTTTAACATTGTTTTTGTCTTTGCCTCTCAGCAGGAAGTCATCCTGCAAACTGGATTTCTCGGACCTTCTCTCACTGGAAGGAGCAACAGAGCCTCAAGCGGAGCTGGGGTTCAAACAGGAAGTTTGGACCCACTTTCCCCGGGAGATCATTTGAGCTAGGCCTTTAAATGTTTTCAGACTTCATTTGAATTAATTATTTTTAAACATCTTGTTAAAAAAAGTAAAAAAGTATCATCATATTACATGAACAAAAATCAAGAGTCTTTATAGCATCTATGTTTGAAGTTAAATCAAAGTTTAAGCACCACTAAGTGGGAAAAAAAGTACTTGTAGTCATTTCATGTAGAAGAAATACCTTTTACACAAAACTATTAAAATCACCCCTTAAAGTGGGAATTTGGACAGGGTAAATAACTTTAATTGACAATATTCCCTTTATATTTCATGTAAAATGTTTTGACAAATACATAAATACTTCAAATAAACAAGGTCAGTCATTGCTCTGATTGGTTAGAACCTGCCTATCATTAAAATGAATGATCCATGGCGCCTAAAGCAAACAAATAAACATAGAGATGATGAGAAAGGGCAGCAGTTACATCCAGCTTACCTTTCTGTTGTTGGATCAGGAGAAGATTTAAAATGACCAAAAATTTCCTTTGAATCGTTGCTCCTAAAGGACAGATTGCTGGGTCCCCTTTCAAGTTCAGATGTGACTCTCTGGATCCTACTAAAAACAAAATGATTTTTATAGAATTTCTTTTATAAAAAACAGCAATTATTTGTTACAGACAAATATTAAGATCAATTACCTTCACTGTCATACTGATACTACTGTATAATGAAATTTTTGTGAGACACTTGGAACAGAAAAAAAATGTAGCATCCTTAGAGTAAACCCTTAAAGTACAAGAAACCCTCAGAACTGAAACTCAAAATATGAAAATATAAAAATTTTTGGAATATCGGCAAAGAAACAACTGACAAATTTAGCTCATGTTACATAAATGTCATAACAATATTTTTAAAAAAGGAAAATCTGACAGACTTAGTGTTACAGGAGTGTACAGCTCAAATCTCTACTGGCTGAGATTTAGAAGATTTAAAATCAATCCAATTTTCCTTTGAATCATTGCTCTTTAAGGACATTTTTCCAGGTCCAGGTTCAGATGTTCCTCTCTGGATTCTGTGAACATTACAAAACGTCTTGATAAAAAATGTCTGAATTAAAAATATAAATTAGAAAAACTTTAAACCATAATAAACCCTGGAAATGTTTTTTGTGCTTAATTTGAATGCTTCAGTTTAAAAATTATGTTAAATTGTTTTTGAAACATCACTTGTTACGAACTTCTCATAAAATAAGTCAAAGAAAAACTACCATCTAATATGAATGAAAATTATAAGCCTTTAATTCATTCACTATTCAAGGGATAATGTTTGAGCACCATTGGGTTGTAACCAAGTTTCTTATAGGCAGAAGTAGATAGCGTACACAAAAATTGTACTTTAGTAAGAATACTTCTACTTAAACTATGTTTTCACTCAAGTCAAAGTAAAAAAGTAGTCATACAAAATTATTAAAGTACTTAATAATTATTGGATCATACCATCTGGTTTAAAAATATTGCACTGAAACTGATTGGATGTGCTAGTAATGTTATTTTAAATAAAAACATATATTTAAAATAAAAATACAAGACATTATTGATTATAAATATTAAATTAATGTAGCAAAAAAAAAAAATCAAAATCCATTTTCCAAAATATCCACTGGCAACATTTTAATGTTTAGTGTACATTCAACTGATATCTGAACATGTCAGGCTTCTCACAGTAGACATAGAAACCAGACATTTTGCACTTTTACATTAAACTTAGTTTCCATCATATTCTGAATTTAAATATTTAATCTATTCTTTTTGAAGAGCATCGTTTAAAGGTTGCATGACTTAGGGCTCTAAGAAATGTCTTCAGCTCTGCTTCCGTTGGCCTTTACACCAGTGAATATTTGCCTTGACTTTGTTTCTAATTTGACCAACTCAATTTGTGGGACAGAAGTAACTATGCATCACAGTCCAGCAAAAATCTTGCTGACTTATTACAGTGGCAGCCATTAAACATTTCAGCACTTTCCTTGATGGCCCCTTGTCTGGTCCCCTACAATTCCTTTTTAAACATCAATCTTTGCACTAAAATATTATTTCTGTCATGATTTGTGGACATTAAGATCAAAGAGAAGCATCATCTCCTGACCAGACCCTGTAATTCAGTGAAAGGGTGGAGTCAGAGTAAAATAATATGCAAGAGTGTGTCATCTCAAATGTTTTCCCATTCAGTCATGTATACAGTAGCCATGCATCAGTGCTGTGCTGCACGATTTAGCAGCAATGTTGGCAGATTTTGGTGCTTTACCTAGATCATTTTTTAAACGTCAGCATCTGCTTTATTCACAACTGACAGTTTTGTGAAGCTTTGGATAATAAATGCATTCTGTGATGAGTTGAAAGGTTAACAGAGAGCATTCTGAAGCTAATATAGTGGCCTTCAGCCTATGACCATAAACTACAGAGAGATTTGTTTTAATTCCTTTACATGAACACAGAATTCTCTACTATTTTTGGCCACAAGACGGTCAGTTGTTCCCGTTTTCTGAACTTCTACCTCAGAATTGTGCTTTTATAAATTCTCCCCGATTGACTGGCAAAGGTGGAGGTCTGGCTACAATCTTTAAATCCAGTTTCCACTGTCAACAAGTATCTACAAATTAATTTTCCAGTTTTGAGATCCAAGTTTTTGAAGTGAAATTAACTGAACCGATCCTGTGTGTGGTTGTTTACCACCAGCCAAGGTTCAGTAAGGATTTTATTAATGAATTCTCTGAACTTATGGCATGGATTTTTTTAGAGTATGATCATATTTTAATTGAATGTGATTTTAATATCCACATATGTTGTCCAGATAAACCTCTGGTGAAGGACTTTTTGGACTTCATTAACTCTTTCCATTTAACACAATCTGTGGTTGGGCCAACACACTTAAAGGGACATACTCTGGACTTGGTGTTATCACATGGACTTTGTTTGGATACCATTGAAATCCTTCAGACATGTATTTCTGATCATTTGCCTGTTTTATTTTCTATTAATATTTTATCTTCTGTGGATACAAACAATACTAAACCCCTACTTTCTCGAACTATAAACTCTGACACTGCTCTTCAACTAAATACAGTCCTTGCTAATACTACATTCCCTACTGATAGCAGTCTTGATATTGAAACTCTTATTCTACATTTTAATAATGCTTGTTCAAATGCTCTAAACACAGTAGCTCCCTTGAAAATTAGAAAAGCTAAAAAAAAGAAACTTTTAGAGCCGTGGCTTAATGAAACCACTCGTGCACTCAGACAGGAATGCAGGCGTGCTGAGAGGTGGTGGAAAAAAAGATAAATTGCAGGTTTCGTTTGAAATTTTAAAGACAGTTTATTTAATTATCAGAACAATGTCAAATTAGAAAAATCTAAATATTTCATTAATCTTGTAGCTTCCAATAAGCATAGGACTCAAGTCATTTTCAGTGTTCTGGATAGGATTGTTAATCCCTTGATTACATCTGGCCCTGTAGCCTCTGTTGAACTTTGTGAGGCTTTCTCTGAGTTTTTTACAGAAAAAAATATAGCTCTTAGAGGGTTGAATACTTTGGTAGATTTAGATTCCCAAGAAATGCCACAATTCACAGCTGTTCTGGACCATTTTCAGCCAGTTTCTTTAGATGAAATGACATCTGCGGCCGTCAAATTATTCTTTGGATTGTCTTCCTTCTCGTCTGATAAAAGACATTTTTCTCACTTCCAGCCTTTTTATCTTAATGGTGATAAATGCCTCATTGCAGTCTGGCTGTGTCCCATCAATACTTAAAGATGCTGTGATCAAACCCCTTCTTAAAAAATCCAATCTAGACTCAAGTGTACTTGCAAATTTTAGGCCCATTTCTAAACTTCCTTTTTTATCCAAGGTTCTTGAAAAATTAGTTTTTAATCAGCTTGAAATGTTTTTTAAAGATAACAATATAACTGAGAAATTTCAGTCTGGGTTTAAAGCTGCTCACAGTACTGAAACAGCTTTGCTTCGAGTGTACAATGATCTTCTTTTAACAGTTGATTCAGGCAATGTTGCAGTTTTATTACTTTTAGATTTGAGTGCTGCGTTCGACACTGTAGATCATCAGATTCTCTTACACAGATTAAAACATTGTGTTGGCCTAAGAGGCACAGTATTTGAGTGGTTTAAATCTTACTTAGAAAACAGAACTTTTTCAGTTCATCTTGACCACTGCTGTCCACAATAACATCAGTCTAATTAATCCAAACTGATTGTTAGGACCAGTTTCTTCAGTTTATTTTTGTGGAAATTTGTATGAAGTGGGTGAGTTTTTCCTAATGTGACATATTGGAACCTAGAGCTCTAACTCAGCTGGTCCTGCAACACTTTCAGTATGTGAGATCACACTGGTACCACACTCAGCTGCCTCTGTTGCATCTGATGAAGCACTGAGGAACAACAGCAGCGGCTTTATGAGCAGGTCTCATTTGGCCTCATATAGTGTGAAAGTTGGTGGTGATCTCACCTCTGAGTTTTGCTCTGGGTCTCCTGCTCTCCACATAGAGACGTTTTGGGGAGAGGGACTCCCTCTTCCCTGTCCTCATACTGATTCATGGCACTGAATTCACCTCAGCATCAGCTCACACACACTCTCTGCCTTTATCTGGGGAGGAAACAGAAATCCTTCATCTGTGTATCAAATTTTGTCATAATTTACATAATTTGGGCTAAAAAATATATGAGCTCCTCTTATAGGCTCTTCTAATCAGCTTCAGTTAAAAGCAGTTATGCAACAGTATGAGGAAGCTGCAATCAGCTGCTTCACTTCTACTAGCAGCCCACTAGATAGAGAAATAAAGGAATATTTCTATCCATTGGCACTGCTTTAATTTAGATTGACACTTTACTCCACCATATTGACTCCATAAAACAGGTTATAATCAGTGTTAAAATCATCAGACTTATTATCACTGGTGAGTTTTCAGGGGACTTTAGAGCAGGAAAAATAAGGACAAGTTAGATCTCTGCAGACAGAAAGAGATTAATCAAGAGGATAACATATTAACTTTCCTTTTACTGAGACAAAAAACATACTTTACATAAAGCAACACTCAACACTTTGAAACAATCTTTTAGTAACATCAAATCAAGTGAAACTGGTTAAGTTAAACTTGTTGAAATGAGAAGTGAAAATTTTCTTCAACCTTAAAAGAGCAGAAGCAACCAGAAAAGTTTATCAAGACAAGTTCTAGTATGAAAACAGGTAAACTTACGTTCTGTGTAAATAGTCCAAAGTGTTGAAGAAAAAAAAAAATAGATGTTAGCAGACCAGACTTTAACTCAGCTGCTTCCTGGAAGGAGTTGGATATTTACCTGTGATGGAGCAAAGGAAGCTTGGTTGTCAGGTAGATTAAAAAAAGATAGACTCAGACAATGACCGGGTGTAAAATATCTAAATTAATATCAACAAAATTTGATAAAGTCTTAAGAGAAAAAGAAAGAAACTTTATATGATGTGGTTCAAGGTGGTGTTCTGAAAGGAAATAAACCCAGAGAACAGAGCTGCTGGTTGCCTCTCGCTTCATTACCAAAAATGTCTTCCGACTGGTCTGACTGGTTGAACCAGTCTGTGACACAAAAGGTGATGAGATTACATCTGAGGATGAAAATAACCACAAAATAAAGTGCCAGTAAAACAATCTCCATGTTCAGTTAATCTCTAACAGAACCGGTATACTTTAACTGTGAACTCATTGGACCTTTCATTGATATGGATTTGTCTCCCTCTAGTGGTGAATGGGTAAACTCATTGATGTAACTATAATGACGCCCAGATAGAGTAGTTTTTTTTTAACTATTAAGACACTTTACTCATGCTGAAGCATAAAGGAAAGTCTGTTCAATCTGAATTATTAGATAATTGATTCAAATAATCACTAAATCTTTAACACAAGGAAAATGCAAACATCACAACAAAAACAAACATAACAATAAGATATAAACTGTTTCCATCACACACATCCACAGAGACAACAACCTATGGATCCCACATCACTTAAACGTACTTCTCATCTATAGCTGTATATACAGCAGTAGCCATTAGAATTTCCCCACTTTGCTTGATGGCTCCTTGGCTGGTCCCCTACAATTCCTTTTTTAAACATCAATCTTTGTACTAAAATATTACTTTCTGTTATGATTTGTGGACATTGAAGTTGTAGGGAAGTCATACTCAAATTTAAAATCATTCTGGCTTAAACATGAATATAAATGTACTCTTTATCAGACAATAAGTTGGAAAATTTCATTAAAAAAATCCTGTGTTAAAATCTTTTTTTTATTTATTTATTTATTTATTTATTTTTTTATTATCTCATGCAAGCCAGTTAGTTATACGTCAGCCTGAACACCTAAATTCGGCCAATCATATATCAACGGCGATCTTTCAATCAGATTTTTTCAGTCATAGCATCTTGATTCATATTTCACAGCTAATGTATGCAATGGTTGAAATAAAAAATAGGAATCATTTACTTTCCCACTGAGTTCCGCCCCCTTGATAATCTACCATTCAGATTAACTTTATTTACTCGTGTAAAGTCGGGCACCACTCGGGAGAATTCGGAACTGCAACCGTTGGAACAGCCGCTTCCCTACGACTTTAAGATCTAAAGAGAAGAGCCATCTCCTGGTCAGACCCTGTAATTCAGTGAAAGGGTGGAGTCAGAGTAAAAAAAATATGCTAGAGGGTGTCACTCCAGTGGCTGAAAGTAGGATGGGATTTTGCTGGGAGTTGAAGCGATGTGGACTGCCATTCGGCTGCCATTTGGGTGGGGAAGGGCCATTTTGAATGGCTGCTACTGTAGCTCCTGATAAAAAAATGTGCGTCACAAGAAAACCTGTTTGATATTTTGGTCGTGGTTAGCAAGTTGAAGCAGTGACACAGCAAGACTGTATCATGATGGGCTTTAAGGATCTGACCCATATGAAGAAAAACACTCAGAAGCCAAGGGAAAAAGTTAATAGGTTTATTGTGTTTTAAAAAGACACAGACTGAGAGATATTCAGCTGTGTAACACTGTTGGACCTCAGCGGACTGGTGAGCCGAAAACTCTGAAGGGGAGATCACAATGATCAATTCAGGGACCTTAGGAAAAAAGACTGAGGCTTGTAATTTGCAGGAGAGGCACTCACGTTTTGGGAACTCTTGGTTAATCTTTGGATCCAGTTTTGGGGGTCTTATCCAGAGATGAAAGAAGTTGTAAGAGGGCGGACAGGCAGACTGACGTTGGGTCCAGAAGAGTACAGGAGCAGACTGTCACCGGGTTTTCCTGAAGAGGACTCTGAACGGATCATGTGGAGGTTTCCCCTTGCTCAATTGTGACTCAGTTTATCCTTCCAGGGGGGTAGTAGGTCCAGGCTTATCCAGTGGATGAGGAAAGCTTCCTGTGGGAGAATAAAGACAAAGCAAGCTTAGACTCAGAAAGACAAGGCTAAAGGTTAGACTCAGCTAATCTCAGTTTGGCTAGAGTACCCAATACTGGCAAACACTCTGGTAGTGACAGCCCACTTCTCAAATACTCCTCTGGTGATGACCCAACGAGCCGCAGGTGTGCGAGGAGGCCCAAACGAAGACAGGGCACCATCTAGTGGTGGAAACAGAAAACACAAAAACAACCCACTCAAACTGGATTCCTAACAGACTGAAATCTTTCCTCAGAGATTTTCACACTACATCCACTACACAAAAACAGAAGTTTCTTCTTCTTCTGTTGCAGCTACCTGTATTAATTATGTTGCAAGACGTCATTGTTAAAGACCCCAACCTGTTTTTGAGGATGTAAAGTGTGAGTATAGTCAGATAGCAAATGTTGTTATACTGCACTGTGAAGAAGTTTATTCCAAGCTGCAAATTTATGAAATCTGTGAATGATTTGCACAATTACAGTTGGGGCTGCCAGATTGAAAATAATGCACAGGCTTTATGATGACTCATCTTATCATCACTAACTGTTTACCTGTAAAAGCTGATGCAAAGGCTTTGCATTTGAGGGAGATTACAGTACAGTTTGCTATATGGTTTATTTTCAGCATAAAGGAAAAAATCTGAATCAGAAACAGGTTTATTGCCATTGTTAGTGAAGGAGTTCACAAACTAGGAATTTTTTATGGTACAATCATGCAACATGAAACATATAATATGGATAAAGGTAAATAAAATTATAAAAATCTCTAAAAACACTGTGGGTATAAGGCACGTGAAAAATAGACAAAAATATGGATAAAAAATATAAAAAGTAAAATATACAAGGTAGAGTTAGTAAATGAAAGTATTTAAACACCTCTGACCAGTTTTATCAGTCTGACCAGTCAGATTACATACATTTCAGTAGTGAACACTTAACTGGGTTAAATTTAGTTTTTCCTTTTCACTGTTTTGAAATCATTCAAATACTTTCCATTGTTTGTGTTTCAGAACATGAGTCATGTCAGCATAATTAAAACAAATACTTCTGTTGCTGCCCTGCCTATTTGGCTCCAATTAGAGATGACATTGCGAGGCATTTCTGCCAAGACCTCATTTCTATCTCACACTGCTGTGTTCATAGTCCTCTTCTTCAACACAGAACAAAGTAAGTAAGTTTGTAAGTTTTCTTTGCTTCAGACATGAACTTTTCTGTTTGTTTCTGCTCTCTGATGTTTGGAAACACCATCTCTTGTTATCAGAATGACGTGTAATTCGTCTGCTGCTGAAAGCTTAATCTGCAGGACTTTTAGATTATTTATGAATCGGAATCTCAAATCATGCTAGCTTTTCTTTCTGTTTTGTTTTGTTAAATTAAACTATATACCATTCGTATATGCAGGGACAAAAACTGTTGTCTGTGTAGCTGCAGCATTTTCAGCCAGTATTTACAGGCAAACTGGAATTTCTTCATTCCTTTAACATCATGTCTAAGTCAGTTTGTTGCCAGATATTACAAAAGATGTTTTGCTACTTGTTTCCAGAGGTTGCATATCATTTGATAAGTAAACTGTCTGTTTTCGATCATGATAAAAAAGAAAAATATATTTTCATTCTTTATTTATCTCCTCCTGGCAGAGGATATTAAGACACCTCTATCCACCCAGAAATAGAACCAAACATGGAGACACAGCATTTAGTTTCTATGCTCCACTGATCTGGAAGAACTCACAGAAGACTGGAAAACAGCTGAAAGCCTGAGTTCTTTGAATTAGAAATTAAAAACCCATTAGTTTAGAACTGAATTTTGACTGTTGAAGTTTCACTGTTAATTGAAGTATCATTAGTTGATTTTTTTTATCTTGTTGCTTTGATTCTTCTTTTATTTTCTTATATTTTACTGTTTAATTCGCTTTGTCGTCTATCAGTTTAAATGTTTTCTCACATCAAACTGAGTCAATGCAATGGATTAAAAAGTATAGAGATGATAAATTACTGTTTGACTGTGAGCAGAAATGTTGCTCCATTGTTCCATCTAGTGGACAGAGAGTAGACGTACAGAAGCTGATGGCAGGCTTTGCAGCTCCACCCTGCCATCTGACTGCAAAATGACTGAAGGACGCTGACATGAAGCAAAGAAGATGGCCCAAATTGGGGAGGGCCAGCTGACCTTATGTAAAGGAGAATCCAAGTTGAGGTGCAGATGGATGAATTGTTTCCTCTGCAGGTGAAAGTACAAAGTGTGCTCAGCTACCGTGGATGAGAATTCTGCAGCATGGATCACTGTTAGCAAATAGAGGAGGGAGTCTTTCCCTCTCAAACCACTCTGTTTGTGGATCATAAGAGCCAGAACAAATCTAGGTGTAGTGCTGGATTCAGACTTGAACCTCGACAAGCATTTAAAGACAATTACAAGGTCGGCTTTCTATCAAATGATATTGTGGCTGTGGAATAAGTTATAGATCTTTGAGTTCAACTCATAAAAAATTGGAGCAAAACCAAAAGTGTTGCGTTCACATTTCCGTTGAGTGTACAAACAGTCGATGTCTACTGTAAAAGCAAGTTTTAAAGTGGTTCAGAATCAACACAGGTATCATTTAACAAAGCTAAGGGTCCTTGCACTTTATGACCAAACACAAACTCATTGGGAGAGAATCCTGTATTTTCCTGTACTGCATCTGTGGCAGCCAAAATCAGGTAATCTTTCCATTCTTAACCTAGCTCTTGGCAATGTGTACGCAAAATAAATTTAAGGGTCTCATTACACCTTTCCAAAAAAGCCTGGCTTTTAGATTATGACATGTGCAGGACTTTTAGCACTTCCACAAAAATGTAAGAAGAAAAACTTGAACCCTGGTCAGCATGTATTTTCTTTGCAATATCAAACACAGAAATAAACTGAGTCAATGCACTCACCACTGCATTGGTATTTCTTGACCATGTATATCTGTTACAGGCAGTGAATACTTTCCAGATAGTTAGTTTTTTTCAATTGCTCAGAGGCACTTACACATACAGTATGTCTTTAAACTCTTAACCCAGACTCACACTTACAAAA